AACATTGCTTTGTAGGTTTAGCCCCCCACTTTCCACAGACACGTCGCAGTACAGGTTAAAAATAGGGAAAGTGATGGTGTTTGGAAAAGAATTTGGTATTGAAGTTTGACCCCCCCCCCCCCCCCCCCCCAGGAAATAGAGGATTTTCATGTTTGAGAAATGGAATTTCCCTTTTTTTTTTTTATTTTGCTTGTCAGTTTTTTTTTTTTTTTGAAGGTATAAAAAATTTTTCTTTACACTTAACCCCCCCCCCCCCCACTTTCAATTTGCTTCCGACGCCAATGAGTTTTCAATTACAATAAGTGACCTATAGTTATTTTTAGTTAAAACCTCTGAAATATGTAGAACAAAAATTTCAGTTTAAACCTTCATATCATTTAATAATATTTTTAATTATTAACCTGCAATTTTTTTCCTGTGTCAGATTTCTACAAAGTCCTGTTGTTGATCGCCAAAAATTTCGTATCGCGTATTGCAATATTGTGTCACAATTCAATTTTTTCAATACGATACAATTTATCGAAACTATTCATAAGGTTAAAGAAAACGTATTCAGATTTTAAAAAAACAAAGAGTTTTACAATAGATTTTTTTATGCAACTTTCATACCCGGTACTTTAGTTAAAGTTACTAGCCCCAAGTAAAAAGTTATTAGCCCAAATATAGGGACAAAAATTAAAATAAAACAAATGTTAAAAAAAAAATTAATCATTGAAAAAGTCAACATTTCAATCTTTTTAAAATTTTATTCTCACTATTAAAATTAAATCATATAAAATTAATGATTATGACAGAAAATAAAAATGAATTTAAAATAAAATTTCTGAAGATCTTTCCTTTTCTGATTATTTTGCACTAGCTCATTTAGAATGAAAATAAATTCATTTTGTTTTCATATTAAATCCTTAAATACACTTTTATATTTCATGTGAATCACACTGATTTTCAGTTGATTGAGTGATCTATATAATTTTAATGTAGATATTGAAAGATTAAACATATTTTTTGGAATGAATAAAAATTTATGGAGATTTATTGACAGTATGCTGCCTGGAAAATATTCACTGGTTGGGAATTTGAGAGCAAAAAATGAGTAAAATACCGGTTGTACTTTATGTATTACATGCGTAGTTATAATTTTTACTAGCCCGAATTTACTAATTTGTTAATTGCACATCTCTTATACTTGTGGTTCTGTTGATTAAGAACACTTTATTCGTATAAATAATAGCAGAGGCAGCACTCCTTGAATTTTTAATTGTGTGTCAAACTGTTAATTTTTTTTCAAAGAGATAACCAAACCCGATTATAAAAAAACGTGAACCGAAAATCGAGATGGTGAATCTTGAACCGAGCACTTATATCCTGATATTTCGTTCGTTTCAGCCCTATTGTTGAGTTCACTCCTGAAGTCTGTTTTTGGTTCACCTACAGATATTTAATCAATTTCTGCACTGTAACTGGGGGCAGGCTTTTATTGCTGATTAAATCAAGTACACAGAACATGTACTTTAAATTTGACAATCTATTAACAATTTCTCTGACAGTTCATTCCACTCGCACTGAAAACTTGTTTTAAGAAAATTACAGGCCACTTAATATATACTTTTCTAAAATCCCCCTTGATTATTAAACAACTTGCATATAATCTTTCCTCATGGCTATGCAGGACAAAAACTATTATAAATGATATAAAATGTAATGGAGATGTTAACCTATCCTCTTATTATGAAGATGAATACAAAAATAGGCCTTTTTTTCTTTCTCTTTCGGCTGGGGGTGGGTTTGGTGGGTTGTAGCCAATTGGGTAGAAATTCTGAACAAGCACCTGGCATTATGAGTGATGTACAGAACACCAGTGTGAATGACCTTGAAACAACTTAACATCAAGTGGATCTTAAGAAGTCTGTAATGTCCTAGCTTATTATGTTACCATGCAGTTTAGAGTTTTGGTTAACAACTATTTGATACCAACAAGCTTTAACAGGAGGAGTTCTTTTAAGACAAGGCAACATCCTTGCAAAACATTTTTCAAGTTAAATACTTTGATTTATTATTGCAGGACGACCTTTGATAAGTCCCACCTCACAACTGTTGCTAATTCTAATGCAATCAATCAGCTACGAAGGTTATAAATACACAAGTTGATGGGCACATACCAGGTATGGACTGATATATCAAGTTCTCGTTAGTGACCTTTGTAATCAGCTGTTTTGATCCAGGCCGCTGGTTCAATGACCCTGAGTGACCAGTCTACACACAAACATCTCTGTCCTTATCACTCTCTGGACAACAAGCTATAACCACCAGCTGTGTCATCTAGTGTGTCATTGTGCCAGCTATATCTCGCCAAGAGACCTTGAGATTTAATCCCTCAACAAAATATTTGTGTTTGTCAGAATTGGATAGATTTTACCAAGGACGGGGATCAAATTATCTTAGTTCAGCAAATTGTTTGAGAGCAGGTCACGTTTTAATATGAAGACGTCTAGAATAGAGCCGACTAATAAAGGCATATATTTTTTTATACGACAAATTTTGGGGTGCTCTCATTATTTCTTGGAATTGTCTGCTTTACAAAAGTTTGACTGACAAGTCATTGTAGACATATAAAAAAAAAACTCAAATGTTGAGAAACAGTACTCTATGTATATTTTAATCTGTCCTTCAATTCATGGCCTTAAGTTGGTCTCTTACTTTCATCCTGTTGGCTTATACCATCTACCTAGTTTCTTGCTTTGAACTAAGGTTTTACTCAAAAAATTTTGTCCAATGTTTGGATAATCAAAAATCCCTTTTAATGTTTCAAGTTTTACAAATTATTGCTTTAAGTGGTAAGTTTTTTATGATTTCTTGACATGAAAGACTGATATATCCCCGATAGTCTGGTTCCCTACTCCTTCAGCCCCTTGGAACCAGTTTAATGGCCGTCCAGCCACCTGACACCTATTACCCTGGGACAGACATCAATGGCTTCCTCCCTCTACTACATCGCAGCAACAGAGTGATAAACCATTACCACACTCCATATAACAAGCTTTTTTCGTAATTAGTCTTCACTTAACACCGAGTTTAAAGGTCTAATAATAATCCTACGTAGCTGGTCTCACATTAACACAGCAGTTATTAATTCAATCCTGGGCCCCTACTGACGTTTTATGTTTGCCTTCTTTCTTTGCTCTCATTTAAGTTCTTCTCCGTAACACAAAGAATGCAATTTATTGCGGATCTTCTTAAAATTAAATGGATGGTTCAATATTTCTCAGCTTTTATTATTTTTCATAATGTTGGATAATATTTTCTCTGGCAGGCATTTAAGTTTTTTGTTCAGCATTCAAGCTTTCATCAATAGTTCTCAAAAGTTTTATTTTTTCCTTACGCTGTTTGTTTCTGATGCTTTGGTGGAAACAGCTTGACACTGCAGTTCCCTCATAACTTAACAAAAGAAATCCAATATCTGCCTGCTGTATGATCTCCTACGCCTAATATCTGATTATATAGATCTCATAAGAACCCAACAAGAGTGGGTAAATGTCATGTAATACGTGATATCCAGCATTATCTAGATATTTAGTAATTACTTGGGTTATTTAGTTCATATCTTCGTTCATAGTTTAACAAATGTTTTATGTCTAACTATTCATGCTATATGTGTTGTTATCTTCATGTCATAATGTTGTTGTTGATATCTAGTTTTACTTTATGTTGCTAGATCTATATATCTGTGTTGATACCTAGTGTTAATATCTACTGTGATATCTCAATATGTAATCTTTATGTCAGATATTTATAGCTGTGTTGATATATCAACAGATATATCTAGTGTTAATATCTTCCATGATATCTCAATATCTAGTTTTACTTTATGTTGCTGGATCTATATATCTGTGTTGATATCTAGTGTTAATATCTACTGTGATATCTCAATATGTAATCTTTATGTCAGATATTTATAGCTGTGTTGATATATCAACAGATATATCTAGTGTTAATATCTTCCATGATATCTCAATATCTAGTTTTACTTTATGTTGCTGGATCTATATATCTGTGTTGATATCTAGTGTTAATATCTACTGTGATATCTCAATATGTAATCTTTATGTCAGATATTTATAGCTGTGTTGATATATCAACAGATATGTCTAGTGTTAATATCTTCCATGATATCTCAATATGATGTAGTCTTTATGTTGTTAGATATTTATATCTGTGTTGATATCTAGTCATCTGTACTGAAATAACTGTGATATCTCTATGTGATGTTATCTTGATGTTGTTATTGATATCTAGCTGTGTTGCTATCATTGTAGATATCTGACTGTGTTGATATCATTGTAGATATCTGGCTGTGTTGCTATTATAGTACATATCTGGCTGGTTGATATCATTGTAGATATCTGACTGTGTTGATATCATTGTAGATATCTGGCTGTGTTGCTATTATAGTACATATCTGGCTGTGTTGATATCATTGTAGATATCTGGCTGTGTTGCTATTATAGTACATATCTGGCTGGTTGATATCATTGTAGATATCTGGCTGTGTTGATATCATTGTAGATATCTGGCTGTGTTGCTATTATAGTACATATCTGGCTGAGTTGATATCATTGTAGATATCTGGCTGTGTTGATGTCATTGTAGATATCTGGCTGTGTTGCTATTATAGTACATATCTGGCTGTGTTGATATCATTGTAGATATCTAGCTAAGAGGAAAACTAATTTTCCTAACTGGGATCAACTTTGATGAGTTATCTTCATGTCAGTGTGTTGATTTAGTACAAACTTATTGTGTAGTATATTGATTTTGTAAACGCCCTTTTTGTGTTGTGTATGTTGATTCTGTACATGTACCGGTATTTATATGATTAGGACAAGTCTTCCTGATTATTTCAGAGTCTAATTATTAGCATCTAGACTTTCACAGTGAATTAAGACCAGTAGCGGTAACTCTCTGTAGGAAATGTAAATAAATCTGCGAGCTTCTCTCCTTACCTTCTCGTGACATTCCGACAGCAAAGCACTTTTTGAGACGACAGTACTGGCAGCTGTTACGCGTGAAGGGTGTGATTTCACATTTCTCCTCGTTAGAACATTTGTGTGTCATTCCTTGTGTGATACAACGCCGGAAAAATCCCTAAAAAATGAAATCGGAAATTTATCGTATTCATACAGTGCATTACATCAATGGCTGTTCATACAGTGCATTACATCAATGGAAAATCCCCTTCAAAAAACCTCTGAAAATCATATCATAGAGTGTAAGATAAAAATGAGAAGTCTCCCTCACCCCTCTCCCCCCCCATAAAAAAAAATTTGAAAATAATGAGATTCTTATTTCATGGAAAAATTGAGGGAAAAAAGAAAAAAAAAACTTCAAATTTTAATCGCAGTTGGTTCTTCTGAGAGGATTTAATATGTGAATTGAACAGTTATAGGTCCAATACATACACCAGTGTGATACAGATACTGGGGTATGCTTGATGAAGGTCTAACGCCAGATGAATCAACAGTTCCCAGGGGTTAATAAAAGTCAGGCCAGATGTTACACAGTTTCTGTAAACATGGTAAACATGGTTTTATGATGCATAACAAAGTAATGGCCAATTTTTTCCCCCTTTCTATTATTTCCCCCCAAAGATGAATGTACTGAGAGATTCAGAACACGTGCAGTTTTTTGTTAAGTCAACTGAGGTGAAATCACCCTTAAAAAATTAATACAACAGATACCAGTACTTGGAGTGTACAGTAAAACTTGTCTTGTTTGTATACTGCATATTCCAAAATCTTACTTATCATGATGTTGACCAGACTTGTCGAAATTTTTTAATCGCTGTCAGACATTTGGTCTGACACAGTTGAATGTTTTGTCGGACCAGTCAAACTTTTGTCAGACCAGATACTTGTACGTTATTTTGATGCTGGTAAAATCATATGAATAACAGCACCAAAATGTCCTTTATTATTTTCAATAGCCTTCAATCTAACAAGTTTCCTTTCTTGGGATATAGAGTCTTTAACATAGACATAAATGACAAGTTTTATGACTTTGCTATAACAAATTTACTTTGCTATCGTCAACATGCTGCGGCCATTTTTTCTGTGTTCGTGACCTTGAACTACGCATCCCAATCCCAACCATTATTAAACTTGCATTACGCTCATTTTTTTTCAAACGGTCATCAAGACCGACGTTTTCTTAAATGTTATCGGTCCAGACAAATTTTTACCGGCCTTGCCAACAGGACCGACGAATTTCGACAAGTCTGGTTGACTTCTGGTCAAATTCAACTAATTCCATTCATGTAAAACGTTTTGTCATCAAGGTAATATCATATTTTTTGTGGCAAAACCAGGGTTTTCTGGATTAGAAAACTTGAACTTCTGAGATTTTGATACTTTCTTATTCAGTATACCTATCTCCTACAACTGTGATGGAATACTGAGATTATTTTAATGCACGTACACGGAATTCCTGTAACATTTTCCTCATGCTATCATTATGATCTAAAATCACTTGAACAATAAGGAAGCCTGACAACAGTTAGTGCATTTCACTCAGAATCTTTCTGCACTTGTTGACGGCAGAGCTCAGGGGGGAAAAATAAAGATTTCATTTTGATCAATACTCTTCAACCTAAAGAGAGTGGCTAGAGAGAGACACATAACATCTAAAAATTAAGTTTTCACTTAATTCTCTGACGCACAGATCCCAAAATACCAGTTCGTTTAAAATGCTTTTATTTTGCTCCACTTTAAAGAACACAAGGTTGCGCTGATTCTCTGAACGACTATTAATTATTAATCATGTAAGAAAGTTCTTTCATCAGTGCTTCAGAGCCCCCCATCTTAAACACGACCCAATTAAATCGCCTAATCCCATCACTTAGTCTCTTTGAGTCCTTTTGTTTCCCGGAGCTTTTTTAATTGGGTGAAATATCTCAGATAAATGATCTTAATAATCAGTCCCTAATACTCAGACAGAACTAAAGAATCCCACAGTTCTCCGAGGGGCCAATCTCCCATCTCAAAAACAATTTCTATTAAATCAAAAATCAAGAAAAAGTAACATCATTTATTTTTTTTTTATGAAAGAAAAATAATTGCTTTCATTTCTCTGCAGCATAAAATGAAACATAAATAGTATTTGAGAAACTAAAGATCATTAGATACATGAGAGAATTGCAATACAAGGCTCTAGATGTGAGATGTTGATTTCTTTTTCTATGTAACCCAAGTCAACAAATTGCCCCAGGTCCTCTATTCTTAGCCTGCTGACCTATATTTAGTTGTTTGTGTCACAGAAGACACCTGTTTTGACCTAGGCCTATATACATAAAATTTTGTCTCTTAACATTGTTATTATGTCTCATACTTATTGCACTTACATTATGAAGCATATTACATGTATTTATTTAAATGGAAAGTTTGGGGGTTTCTTATAAAATGTCAATTGTTACATATAAATGACACATCCATTTCTTAAAACAAGAAAGAAAATTGGTTGTAATGCTTTAGGACATCCCAGTCTCTGTGACTAGCATCACGAGTTACACTGAAATGGAGACTACAAGAAATAAATGTTACCTTTACCTTACACCCCTCACAAGAGTCCACTCCATAATGGAACCCGTTTTGACCTTGACCTACATAAAAATTTATCTTTAAGTTATACTTATTGCGCTTATTTTTACCTTACATCCCTCACATGAATCCACCCCATAATGGAACCCCGACGATTCGTCACCGCACACTTTACACGTGGGGGCCTTGGCCGAATTCTTGACCAATGACATTGGAAGTGACCCCACACCCGTTGAGCTGACCATTGACCCATGGTCAGTTCCGTTGGTCAGATTTCCGTTGACGCTGCTTGGGATGTTCATCCCTGGACCTGAGTCGCCGTGGTTACCGGAGCTGTAGGATAAACTCATGGCCTTGTGCTGGAGGTCATGTGGACTGGCAGACGATGGACCGACCGAGGATTGGACGTCCATGTCTAGTCCCAGGGGAGGCAATCTGTAAATAGATAAACGTAAAAATGAGCTTCTCTACACAAAATAGGGCAGGCAGTCTGTAAAAAAACAAGAGGCCCAGGGGCCACATCGCTCACCTGAGCAATTGGCTAGGAAAAAACACAGATCAGATCAGAACTGAAAGTAAAATGGGGGGGGGGGGCTTGAATTATACATCCCCCCAGGGGGTCATGATTTGAACATACTTGAATCTACACTACCTGAGGATGATTCCCTATAAAAATAATGAAGCCTGGCTTTGAAGTACTTGAAAAGAAGATTTTAAAAGGTTTCCCTATATGTTCCTATGTAAAAATTTGATCCACCATTTTGGCCCCACCCTACCCCCGGGGGTCATGATTTGAACAAATTTGAATCTACACTACCTGAGGATGATTCCACATGAGTTTCATCTTTCCTGACCCAAAGGTTCTTGAGAAGAAGATTTTTAAAGATTTTCCTTATATATTCCTATGTGAAAGTTTGATCGGCCATTTTGGCCCCACCCTACCTCCGGGGGTCATGATTTGAACAAATTTGAATCTACACTACCTGAGGATGATACCACATGAGTTTCATCTTTCCTGGCCCAGTGGTTTTTGAGGAGAAGATTTTTAAAGATTTTTCCTAAATATTCCTTTGCAAAACTTTGATTGGCCATTTTGGCCCCACCCTACCTCCGGGGGTCATGATTTGAACAAATTTGAATCTACACTACCTGAGGATGATACCACATGAGTTTTATCTTTCCTGGCCCAGTGGTACTTGAGAAGAAGATTTTTAAATATTTTTCCTATATATTCCTATGTAAAAATTTGATCGGCCATTTTGGCCCCACCCTACCTCCAGGGGTCATGATTTGAACAAACTTGAATCTACACTACCTGAGGATGATACCACATGAGTTTCATCTTTCCTGGCCTAGTGGTTCTTGAGAAGAAGATTTTTTAAAAATGCCATTAATTTTTCTCTAATTCATAATTATCTCCCCTTGGAAAAGGGCCTGGCCCTTCATTTGAACAAACTTGAATCCCCTTTGCCCAAGGATACTTTGTACCAAGTTTCGTTGAAATTGGCCCAGTGGTTCTTGAGAAGAAGATGAAAATGTGAAAAGTTTACGACGACAACAACGACAACAACGACAACGACGACAGACAACGGACAAATTTTGATCAGAAAAGCTCACTTGAGCCTTCGGCTCAGGTGAGCTAAAAAAATAAACGTAAAATGATGTTCTCTACACAAAACAAACGTTAAATGACGTTCTCTACACAAAATAAACGTAAAATGACGTTCTCTACACAAAACAGGGGAGGCAACCTATAAACAGATAGACGTAAAATGATATTCTTACAAAAAACGAACAAACGTAAAATAACATTCTTAATAAATAAGGGGAGGCAATCTATTAACAAATAAACATGAAAACAAGAGATGTTTGTAAAACACTTATGCCCCCCTCTACCCCCAAATTAGAATTTTTTAGAGTCCAAAGGGGCATAACTCTGTCAAAAAAGATGTGATCGTACCCAAAACAGAACTTGGCCTAGATATTCATCTGAAAAATCTGTATACTAAATTTCATTTCAGTATGTGCAACTTCTGCACAGAAAATGAACAGAAACTGCAAATAACAGGAATTTTTATAAGTCCAAGAGGCATAACTCTGTAAAAAATGGCGCAATCATACCCAAAACAAAACTTGACCCAGATATTCATTTGATAAATCTGTATATCAAATTTCATTTCAGTATATGCAACGGTTGTGAAGAAAATGAACAGAAACTAAGTGGACCGAAAGACAGCAGCAAAGCAATATGCTCTACCTTCTTCGAAGGGGGGCATAATAATCTTCTCCACAAGATAAAAATAATGTTCTATACAAAACAAGAGGCCCATGGGCCACATCGCTCACCTGAGCACATGGGCTAATTAAAAAACACAAATCAGCTCAGTATTAAAAAGTTTACTTGTTGGGGGAGGAGGTTTTAAATTCTCTATTACTTGAGAATGTAACTATATCAATAAAGCATGTATACATGTATAACTTTGCCATACTTGAAAAGAAGATTTTTAAAGATTTTTCCAACATACTACTTGATCTCCTACTGTGACCCCTAGCTAACAACCCCCCCCCCCCCCCCCCACCCCCCCCCCCCCCCCCACGGACATTGAATAAATTTAAACCTTCACTACTTGCCTTCAGCTCCGGTGAGCTAAAAAGGGGATCTAGGCAATTTATAAACAAACATAAAATGACATTCTCTACACAAAACAGGGGAAAATCTATAAACAAACAAGTGTAAAATGGCGTCGTTCACAGTAAACTGCTTTCTGATGTAATCATTACTCAGGGCTGTGGCCTCATCAATAACCTGCACATTCTATCAAAGAATTGAGGCGTACAAGGCGATGTCAATTCCCCCCCCCCCCCTCTTATAAAAGACATATCTCAATTCTAAAAGTTCATGAAAGCGTTTTTTTTTTAAAATTATTATATGGTTTATATTGATCATCTCTTACATATTTGATTCTGTATTTCATTGTTTTGATATTTTATTAATAATTTTTTTCACTCATGTTTTTAATATATGTGAAAACAAAAAGAAGCTTCACGAATGATTCGAACTCTCTCCATAGCGCAGGGTTTGGCACAATACCGACCGCGTTTATGAACCACTATGCTAAGAAGTATATGCGTTGTCGTTGTCTGTCAGTGTGATTTAAATGAACAAGTTTGTTGAAGCATACATTTTTCCAGAAAAGTTTGATTTTCATATAGAATGGGTTCAGATTCCATTTTTTAGACAAATGAAATAGATTTCACATTTGCGTTTCTATCATTTAAGCGTCAACGAAAAATGGAGACTTGAACCATTCATGTTCAAAATTCATTTTTCATGGCTCTAGTAAACCCATTTTCCACTAAATATGCTTTGTCAACTTTGAAAAAAGATTGACAAATGATAAGTCGTTCAGTAAAATAAAATAATAAAATGTTTTGAAGATGACATTACCGAGAACATGATTTTAGAAAAATATGACGTTTCCGTTAATTTTGAAAATTGAGAAACATATTCTCTCAGAGCGGGGCATTGTCCACGCCCTCTTTCTTTACTTTTACAGCTAATATATTATCACTTCTCATGTTTTCATTCCTTTCAATTTATCTAATTCACAAATAAAGTCGATCCAACCAGTGCTTGAATATTTTAAATGGCATTCATTTTAAACCCCTATCAAATAATTAACACAGTACAACATGTACAAGGTTGTTTAATTTTCATCAGGAACATTATTGGAGAACTTTGTCTTGTTTAATGTGTTAAATGTTAAATAGGAGTGAATTTCTGTATTTGATTAGCAAATTGTGAATTGATTACATTTTATCTCTGATAATGTGGGCACCATAGCAGTTTTATTTTCCATTATGTTAATTAAATATATATATTATTAACCCTTTGTGTGCGGGAACCCAACATATTGGGTCTGACGTCACAAACGCTTGCGTGCGGGAACCCAATATGTTGGGTCTGAGTCTGGAATTAGCGCTTCGTCACATAAAACGTCGTATAAAACGTATAAATGAGCTGTGAATTATTCAGAATCTATCAAAATGTATTATAAAACTACAACACATTGAAAAATAGGTAATGAAGATGTGAAAATATGCGAATTATTTGTGAAATTGTGATTTAAAGTGAAGGTGTTTAACGATTGTTACAATGAAAGTCAGTCCGCTATTTTTGGAAACAGGGAAAAAACGCGCATGCATTAAATATCTTCTAACTTGCTCTAATATAAAGGAAAATAAAGAAATAAATTCAAAAAATAGTTAAATATCAATAATTATAATAAATTTGTGTTAGTAGACATAAAATTACTTAGAAATTGTCGATATTTTAGCATAAAAACTCTGGTTAACTTTACTTGACCTTAACCTTGCGAAGTTCTTCCTGTTAAAACGAAAGTAGGATGCACATGCTACTGAACTTCAGTCTGAAGCATATCGAGAGCTTATATGGTCGGCAAAGTTTTATATTTTGGACATACGGTGGTTATTATTTGTTTCTTTGGTGTTTTGTAAGTAGACATACATTACATCGTCTAAATGAAAACAATAATGCGCGCGATTGAACCTGGCAAGTCACAGACGTTTTTCTTTTCCTCAGTGGCTGTGCACATTGTTTACATACGTAAATAAAACTTTGTTTTGAAATAAAGGTTTGCAAAAAATAATGTGAAGCATCTTGTTAATTAAAAGCATTTGTTTTTTTAACAATAAATAAGCAAATAGATAAGTAATTGAAACAATTTTTTTTTTAATTCTAAACTGAAAGATAAAAAAGGTTCCACCTAATAAATGTAAAGGACCTTGAACATTGTAGAAAATTTTCCAATGAGTTATTGCATTAATGAATAAGTGCAAAAGAGATATATAGAGAATATATATCCATCAACATATTTTTGTGATCAAGCAAAATTAATTCATGATACAGGTATTCGAAATACACACAATATGAATTTTATAACTGACAATCATTGAGTCAATTAAGTGGCCCTAATAACACCTAAAAATTCTGGTTTAAAGCTGCTTGATGTTCCATCTATTTGGGAAAACTTTCAAATATTTTTTTTATAACAGTATATGATATATTGTAAAATTTTTAGCACAATTAAAAAATTAAAATATAAACTTGATATTTTCTATAAACCTGTAGTGTCTTCAAATGTATCAGCTTGTTATCAGAAAAGATGCATTGATGCATTTGATCAAAACGACATGTGCATATAAATGAAAATGGTAAAAAGTGATGAAAAAATTTTAAAGTTCTGATTTTCCCTGAAATGACTGTCGTTTGTGTAAACTTTGGTATTTGTTTTATTTCAGTAAGTTAAAAAAATATGATTTTTATTTCCTTGATAAGGATTATATAGACTCTCAATAATTTCAAAGCCAAAATATGTTCCGGGATCTTTAGTATCTTAGAGTTAGATTTCTTC